ATGGAAAGTGAATTTGCTCTGTAAATCTTCACCCAAATCACAATTAAAAAATAAATAAATAAAATTTAAAAATTAAAAAAACAAAAAAAAAAGAATCCTGTCTATAATATGTTACACAAAAACATTGTCCCACATTCTACCTTGTTGAGTAGCAACTGGGATCTTAAAAGCTTACAAGCACCCATCTAGATGCAACCATAGGTCTCTCCTCGTCCAGAGCAAGGAAGAATGATAAAAACCAAAGACACATGGAAACAATCAGTCCAAGGGACTAGGTGACCATGCAACCCTCAGCCATGAGACCAGAAGAACTAGATGGTGCCTGGGTACCACTGTCAACCACTCGGAGAGGGGTGTACATAGGAGATCCTGGATAGAGTGGAAGAACAATGTGGAACAAAACTCAAAATCATTAAAAAAAAAAAAAGGACCAGATTTGCTGGCCTGGTGAGACCCCTGAGACTATGGCCCCAAGCTGCCCTTCAGGTCTGGAATTGAACCCACGCCTGTGGCTTCTAGCCAAATAATAGACAGGCGTATGAACTGAAAATTTACATCAAGTAGATATACTCCTTTGTAGGATCAATCGTGGGAGAAGAGAAGGGCATGTATGCACAGGGAGAGGGCTCGGGGCAGGAGTGCCTGGGAGGAAAGGGCACAGGGAAGAGGTAACTACGGGGAGAAGTGGGAGGAGAGCTGTTACATTGTGGGGAATTGCAGTCAATGTTATGAAACGAAATGTGTATGAACTACTGTATGGAAAATGCATTTGCTCTGTCAACTTTCCCCAAATAAAAATAAAAATTTAAAAAGAAAAAAGAATGTTTGCTGTCCGAGGCCCTCCTTCTCTCCCCGCAGTCTTTCTTTCCCATTCCCTGCAGGGAAGGTGGGTGGAGGGGCGGAGACGGGGATCTGGGCGGGTCGCTCCCTGGGGCTGAAGGCTGCCTGGGTCTTGTTCTCATTCACTGTTCCTGGACTGGGCAGGTGGGGACAGATCGGTGGCCAGGACCTGGTCAAGCTGATGGATTAGTCACAGTGCCTCCTAATCCCCTCAGTGACCTTTAGAAGTGGCCCAAGCCCTGCCCTCCCCAGAGGAGCCCGGAGTGGTTCCAGCTCTGCCCGCTCTCTCTCCTTCCAAACAGGGCCCTCTCCACCCCTGCACCATATCTTCACACCCTTCCTCATCATCTGGGGGCTGTGTTTCCGTTGTCCCCAGTCCCTACCCCCAGACACCCAGAGCTGGGATAGAAGCCAGCTAATTAATCCCATCCGGTCATTATGTGGGGATTCTGAAGGATAAGGGGAAAGTGGGGACAGCAGGAGGGGGGACCTGCTTTGATGCAGCACTTGGACAGGCTCAAGGCAATGACCGTGCGTGGGAAGGTGGCCTCCTCGTGGGGTACTGGCTCCCTCTGCGGCTGGCTCCCCGCCTGCGGGGTACTTAGCTAGATGGGAACATGGGCTGGGGGCCAGGTCCCAGGACCTGTGTCCCAGAAACACACTCCCAGAGGCACACACCAGCGCTCCCAGTTCTTTAATCCGGGGGACAACTCCCACCCCCCAAACACATACTGTCTCCAAAATGATAGGATCCCTGGCATTCTGAGCTCGCCTCCCCACTTCCCCAGCACCCCCCTGAGCTGGACCAGGGAGGAGGGAATCTGACCCTTAGCTACAGCCCGCACTGTCCACACTCGATTCCTGTCCCATGACTCAGGCACCTAGTTCAGAGCCAGCTTCCATGAGGATCTCCCTCTCCGGCCACCCAGGAGGACCAGGCATGCCAGCCCCAGGGAGAGCCGCGAAGTCCTCAGGACCCTCACCTCCACCCCACCCTCAGTGAGGTGAGGGACCATCTTGCTGGAAGGGCCCTTGGAGATCTTCAAGTTCCAGTACCCCATTTCACAGATGGGGAAACTGAGGTAAAGCAAGAGGTGTGATCATCCCAGGGTCACACAGTAATGTAGGGCAGAGTGAGGATTTAGAAGAAAGTGTTCTGAATTCTTGCTCAGGACTCAGTCCAATGAGCTCAAGTTCAATTTCTAACCTTGCAGTAGGAACCAGGGGGAGGGGAATAGATAGATATCTGTATTTATATTATATATATACATATATATGATACATATATTATAACATCTTTAAGAAATAAATACACGTAACTAGGTGGAAAATTCCAGAACATTCTAGGCTCTCCAGTCTTGGGTCTCCCCCACCCCTTGCCCGTGGACTAGCCCTGCTACCTACAGGGTCTTATGTGGGCCCTCACTTGTTTAGGCAGCCCAGACATGCTGCTTCTCAGTTCCTAGGTCCACCTCCTGGAATGGCCCAAGCATTCCATTTGGAGGTGATCGGAACTTCCCGGGTTTGGTCATGGACAACTTGGGATCCCTGGAGCCCTGATTCCTTTTGGCATTTCAGAATCACAAGGAAGTCTGTTCCATCAGTTCACAATCCAGAGCCACTGAGATTCTCAACTCCAGTGGGCAGGCTGGAACCAGCAAACCCCACATGTCTAGAACCACCACTCTTTCCTTGAATCTGAGATCAGTCTGGACCCACAGAATCCTAACTCCTTTGGGCATTCTAGAATGGCACTTTTTTTTTTTTTTTTTAATCATCCCTAACTTCTTGTGGATCATTCAGAAGCAGTGACCATCCTTTTAGCTGGATGTTCAGTAGTCAGTGGTCTGGAGTTTGCTAATGTCAAGAACCACAATCTGTCACCTCAGTCCTTCTAGACCCAGAGACTCCCAACTGCTTTGTGCATTCCAGAAACACGGGATAGACCTTCTCCGGAATCGCCTGAGCTTGCCTCTGTGGTAAATCTAGACTCACAGAATCTCCTGTCTGTGGTCTTTCTGGAACCATAAAGTCTTCTTTTGACTTGTATTCACCAGTCAGTCCTTGTCTTTGGTCAATTGAGAAGAGTTTGAATACTCAGGGCACTCCATAACCTTCCCTCTTTGAGTGATCTAGAACCAATGATTTGCTACTCAGTTGGATGAGTCTAGAAGTAGCCAGGTGAGTCTCTTGAATCTTAGGCCAATCCGGGTCCACAAACTTGACCTCTGTTACTGTCCAAGAACTGCCAACTTCCTCCCCAAGAGACAATGCAGACGATTGATTACTGACCCACTGATTCCAACAACGCAGGGTCTAGAGGAATCTAGAATCACTAGTCCTTGCCTCTTGGGTGGTCTAGGATTCTGGATCTCTTAGTTCTCCTGAGACTCAGGAATGAGACTCATAACATGGTCTCAGGAGGGACCATGACATACAGAGGAATTAGGGTCCAGTACATCTGGGGTGTGTACACTGGGTAGGGCAGGGCCTGCCCAGATAATAATTGACTCTGTAGGCCTTGGGAAACACCCCCCACCCCAGGGGAGGGCTCCATCTCTTTGTCTTGCGACTTCTAGGAAGGAGACACAGATGGGTGCCACCAGCTCACATCATGGAGGCAGGGTCGGCGCTGGGGTGGGTGTGAGAACTCAGGGGGTGGCAGCTCCATCTTCGGCCTCTGCTCCATCCCCCTCCTTGGCCTCCTCCTCATCTTCTTCCTCCTGGCAGCAGCTCAGAGCAAGTTCATTCTCATAACAAAATGCAGCCAGAGAGCCAGGGAAGCTTAGCTTGGGGCTGTGGGACGCCTGCTCTGCCCGTTGGTCCAGCTCCTTGGCGCTGCAGACAGGTGTCCCCGGCACTTCATAAGTGCGATGGAAGTGGCGATAGTCCACCTCGTACTGGGAGCCACGCTGGAAGAGGACCGGCTCGAAACGGTGGCCCCAGAGCAGCTCGCCAGGGAGGTAGGACGAGCGGCACTGTGTGGTCATGGCTGTGGCTTCCACCATGCCTTCGAGGATGACCACCAGCTCGAAGTCAGCCCGGGCCAGCTCCGCACGGCCAAACTCGTACAGGGGGCTGGCGGAGTCGATCTCGTGCACAATGGTGATGGGAGACACGAGGAAGATGCGGTCAGTGCCGCCGTCGAAGCCCACATCCACGTCCTGGTGGTCCAACGGGATGTATTCACCCTCGGGGGTCACACGGGGCTGTAGTGAAAGGCAGAGGCCAGAGACAGAGAGGACAGAACACAGAGAGGAACAGAGACAGGGAGAGCAGGGCATTGAGACGCAGAGCGAGGGGAGAGCAGAGAGCGTGGGGTGGAGGGGACAGAGACCCCGAGAGAGGGGGACAGAGACCCCGAGAGAGGGGGACAGAGACCCCGAGAGAGGGGGACAGAGACCCCGAGAGAGGGGGCAGACATCAAGGGGGAGAGAAAGGATAGACACCCAGACATAAAAACAGAGAGAAAAAGACTCAAAGGGATTTTGGGGATAGAAGCCCAGAGGACGAGAGAGAGGAAACAGTAAGGGATAGAGTCCAGACATAGGACACAGGTATCAGCAAGACAGAGATGAAATCAAAGAACCAGGGACAGTGAGGAAGGCGTCCAATGGGCAGTTGAAGAGGGGGGAGGAGAGAAAAATGCCTGTAAACAGGTGGCCATAAAAAGATAAACCAGGTGATGAAAAGGGGGAGTTCAGAGAACCTCAGGCCGACCACTTCATGCTCCATCACTAGCTCAGGCTGGCCCTGGGTTACCCTTCCATCTCACCCCCAACCTGACTATAAGGTTCTCCATCACACTGCGTGTGTGTGTGTGTGTGTGTGTGTGCGTGCGCCTCTGTGTGTGTGTTGGGGGGTCAATCCCCAGGGCCACAGGTATTTGTAGTTTTGCTCCACCTACCCACCAGCTGGGAGCTATGGTGGCATAGTGCCTAAGGCACTTGACTGCTAACCAGAAGGCTGGCAGTTCAAGCCCACCGGCCACTCCTTGGAAGGAAGGCTGGGCAATCTACTTCCTAGCAATATTGCCTCCGAAACCCAAGGAGGGGTCGCTATGAGACTCCACGGCAGTGCATTGTGTTGTGTTTGTACCCATTGGTTGGTTCCATCCCTACCTCCCAGGCCATGTCACTATCCCAGTCTGCTGGAAAAGTTAATGCCTCTTCTGGTTCAGGAATCTTGGGCAACCCATCAGGAGATGTGTGTGTGTGTGTGTAAATGTGTGTGTGAAAGGCTCTGGGAGTCCCCAGGGGCTGCTGGGAGTTGAAGTTCCCACCATTACCCCATCCCTCCCCCTCTCCATTAGTCCGTCTCAGCCCAGAATTTTTAAGTGTCTTCACTAGGTCAAGGGCTGCTGCTGTTAAGAGCTTATTGAAAACTAAGGTCTGTTTGGTAAGTTTGACCACAATTCTAAGCCCACCAAGACCCCTTCTGAGGGTGCCTGAGGCAGCCTCTACCCCCAGGGTTGTTGGGAGCTGTAGTTCTCTTTGCTAACCCACATGTTCCCTAGCCCCTAAACAGTACTCATAAGGCATGAGGCCTGGTGGGTGAGAATGGGCCACTGAGATGGGGAAGGAATTCTCCCCAAAATGATGCCAGGCCCCATCCCCAGAATCCATTAAGTATTGTCCACAGCCATCCAGGCGCAGGCTGCACCCCTTCCTCCACCCTATACCTCCTACAATCCCACAGGGGCCTGTCCTCAAGTCATAGCCACTCTCTGGGAATTGTAAACTTGAGTCCTCAAAGGGTCATAGAGAACCACCACCCACAAAATTACACTTCCTCAGTCTATTTCATTGGGGCACGTTCCTTGGCCCAGACGCTTCTGGAAATTGTAGTTCAGCACCTTCATAGGTGAGTTGTGGACAGCTCAAGCCTACATTTTCCACGAACCCACAAGGGCCCATCATCAAGTCATGTTGTTGTTGTTATGTGCCATCGGACCCGACTCATAGTGACCCCGCCCTGGGTTTCCGAGGCGGTATCACTATGGAAGTAGATTGCCCAACCTTCCTTTCAAGGAGTGGCTGGTGGGTTTGAACCGCCAACCTTCTGGTTAGCAGTCAAATGCCTTAGGCACTATGCTACCAGAACTCCCTCATTAAGTCATAGGAAGCTCTTTATGTTTCAAAATCTGTTGGGAATTATACTCCAGAGCTCCAGGAAGATCTGGTCACAGACTCTTCCCTTGGGTTTACAACTGAGCTCTGGTGGCATAGCGCCTAACACACTTACTTGACTGCTAACCAGAAGGCTGGCGGTTCAAACCCACCAGCCACTCCTCTGAAGGAAGGTTGGGCAATCTCCTTCCCTAGTGATACTGCCTCGGAAACCCAAGGAGGGGTCGCTATGAGCCGGGTCCCACTCCACGTCACTAAACAACAGCAACAGCTGGTCAGGGAACCATTCTCAGTCCACCAGCCAGCCCTGCCCGCAGGCGCTTCTGGGAATTGTAGTCCAAGCGCCTTCCAGGCCCCGCACGCACCTCATATGCAGGCCTACATCTCCCACAATGCCCCGGGGCTCGCCCTCCACCCACGAGAAGGGCTCCTCCCTCTCCCAGGCCGTGGCCACCGACCGGGAAGGGAGGATGGGCACCTGCAGCAGCTGGGCCCGCACGTGGGCCTCGACGAGGTGGCTGCGGCGCAGGTTGCCCACGCGCCACATGAGGCAGAGGCGGTGGTCGCGCAGCGCCACGACGGCGTTCTCGCTGAAGACGAGAGTCTCGTTGCGCTTCTTGGGCTTGGCCATCTTGGCCATGACGGCGCCCACGACGAAGGCATCGAGCACGCAGCCGGCGATGCACTGCAGCACGACGGCGGCCACGGCGGCCGGGCACTCCTCGGTGACGCTGCGCACGCCGTAGCCGATGGACGTCTGCGTCTCCAGCGCGAAGAGGAAGGCGGCCAGGAAGCTGGCCACCTGCGAGAAGCAGGGCGCGGGCGGTGGAGGCGCGGCCAGGTCGCCGTGCAGGGAGGCGATGAGCCAGAAGGCCAGGCCGAAGAGCAGCCAGGAGGCGAGGAAGGAGCAGGAGAAGAGCAGGCACATCCAGCGCCAGCGCACGTCCACGCACGTGGTGAACAGGTCGCTCAGGTAACGCGCCCCCTGGCCGCCCAGGTTCACGAAGCGCACGTTGCAGTGCCCGTCTTTCTTGACGAAGCGCCCGCGGCGCCGGCCCACCGGGGACCCCGCCGGCGCCCACCCGTTGCGGCATAGCCCGGGCCCCGCTGCCTCCTCATCGTCAGCCCGGCTGTCCCCCGACTCAAGGGCGCCGCTCAAGCGGCGCAGGGCCCTGGCCAGGCCCATTGGGTGGGGGGACCCCCTCCACGTGGCCTAGTGGGGGGCGGCCGCCCGGCGGGGAAACCTGCAGGGGAAGAAATGGGCAGGGATGTCAGGGGTGTGGGAATGGGTCATAGGCCAGTAGTGCTTTCTGGGCCTTGGTGACCTCATTTAGTAAATAGGTAGAACCATAAACCCAAACCCACTGCCCTGGAGTCTATTGCGGCTCACAGCGCCCCTAGAGAGTGGAGGGGAACTGCACCACTGGGGTCTCCAAGGCTGTCAATCTTCACAGAAGCAAAGCCGAAACCACACCCACTGCCTTGGAGTCCATTCTGACCCACAGCGCCCCCAGAGGACAGAGTGGAACTGCCCCACAGGGTCTCCAAGGCTGTCAATCTTCACAGAAGCAAAGCCCAAACCACACCCACTGCCCTGGAGTCAATTATGACCCACAGCGCCCCTCGAGGACAGAGTGGAACTGCCCCAGAGGGTCTCCAAGGCTGCCGATCTTTAGGGAAGGAAAGCCAAAACCAAACCCACGGCCCTGGAGTTGATTCCGACTCACAGCACCCTAGAGGACAGAGTGGAACTGACCAAGGTGGTAAATCCTTACAAAGCCAACTGCTATATTTTTCTCTCATGGAGCCTTTGGTGGTTTCCAACTGCTGACCTTTCGGTTAGTAGCTGAGCGCTGTAACCACTGTGCCAACAGGGACCCTTGGTTTGAACAACAGTCACCTTGAAAGCCAGAAAAGTACAGTATGGATAACAGAGACGGGCCTACAGGAGACGCTAACATAGTGTCAACAGCAGTGTTACTACAGACTGAAGTCCAACCCACTACCATCAAGTTGATTTCGAGTCATAGTGACCCTTTAGGACGGAAGATTTCCAAGACAGCCAGTCTTTACGGGAGCAGACTGCCTCATCTTTCTCCTGCAAAGTGGCTACTGGGTTTGAAGCACTGACCTTTTGTTTAGAGCCAAATGGCTAGAAACCAACCCCCACCCCCAAAAAAAACCCTCATTGTCTTCAAATTGTATTCCAACTCATAACGACCCTGTAAGGACTAAGTAAAACTATGTCATAGGGTTTCCAAGGCTGTAAATCTTTAAAGAAGCAAATTGCCACATGTTTTTGCTGCAGAGTGGCAGGTGGGTTGGAACCCCTGCCCTTTTGATTGGCAGTCGAGATCATTAACCACTGCGCCATCAGGGCTCCTTTTTGCAGCACCCAGGGGGCGTCAGTAACACTATCACAATCACCCGAAGCAACAGTTGTACATGGCAGACGTTTATACTGGACCGGCACTGTTTTGGAGTCCCTGAGGTGCTAACGGTTAACACGCTCAGCTGGGGATGGAAAGGGTGGAGGTTTGGTCTACTCCAAGGCCCCTCAGAAGAAAGGCCTGGTGAGCTGTTTCTGAGAAGTCGGCTCCTGAGAATCCGTAGGGCGCACAGCTCTGCTCTCCCACACCTTGGGTCGCCAGAGTCAGAAAGGACTCCAAACAGCTGTGGGAGGTGCTGTTCTCAGGACTTTACACGGATTTTGCTGCTTGCAGCGTCACCACACCCCTGTGAAGTAGGCATTAATACCTACATTTTCCAGAGAAGGAAATGGCGGTGCAGAGAGTGTAGGGAGCTTGCCCAAGGCCACATCTGAGGAAGCTGGGATCTGCATGGCGGCAGTCTAGCTTGTAACTGTGGCTCGCACTGCTTCTCAGGGTGGAGAAATGAGCCTGGTGTCTGGGGACAGCGATGGTTCAATATGGGGCTCGGAGGGGACCAGCAACAGCAACAACAAACTGAGGGGTGGACAGGCTGAACGATCAGGTATGTCTAGGCAGGGGGAGTTGTGCCTATGACCACGTTTAGGGTTGGCAGACGATGTTCCTACATGCATATTTGTATGTGCTGGGAGAATGTCTGGGTTTGTAGTAGAGCTGACAAGGGGCAAGGTTGTGGTGGCTTCTTGACCACAGCCAGCTACCTGGCGGGAGGGAGTCGTTGGACCTGAGGGCTGGGACCGTGGTTGCAGGGGACATCAAGCTCATTGGCATAACACACTACCCAAGAACATTGTTCCACATCCTACTTTGGTGAGTAGCAACTGGGATCTTAAAAGCTTGCAAGCGGCCATCTAGATTCAATGATGGGTGTCTCCTCGTCCAGAGAAAAGAAGCATGAAGAAAACCAAAAGATGCATGGAAACAATCAGTCCAGGGGACTGGTCCACCATGCGATCCTCAGCCTGTATGACCATGAGACCAGAACAACCGGACGGTGCCCGGCTGCGTCTGTCAACCACTTGGAGGGGGACTAGTGCGGGAGATCCTGGATAGAGTGGGAGAGCAATGTGGAACAACACTCAAAATCATGATCCCCCCCCAAAAAAAAGATCAGCTTTGCTGGCCTGATAGAGCCCGGCGAGACCCCGAGAGTAAGGCCCCTAGTTACCCTTCATGTTGGAACTGAACTCACTCGTGTGGCTTCCAGCCAAACAACAGACAGGCATGTAGGGTGAACATTTACATCAGGTATATACACTCTTTGGAGAGATCAATCGTGGGAGAACAGAAGGGCAGTGTTTGCAAAGGGAGACAGCTTGGGGGGCGGGAGTGCATAGGAGGGAAGGACACAGGCAAGAGGTAACTACAGGGAGGAAGTAAAAAGGGATGTGCTACACTGTGGGGAATTGAAGTTAATGTAATGAGACAAAATGTGTATGAATGGCAGTACAGAAAATGAATTTGCCCTGTAAAGTTTCACCCAAATCACAATAAAAATTAAGGAAAAAAAAAAAGAAAAAAAACTGATGCTTCAAAGATACGAAGAAAGTGAAACACCTCTGTGAATGGGAGAAAATAGTTGGACATCCCATATATGATACGAGTATTAACATTTA